TGGCTTCCCTGGCCAGCCCCGGCCATCCCCGACTCGGCTTCACCTGGGGGGTGGGCGGAACTCAAACGCTAATGGCTACGTGCGCCTACAGCTAGGTGGGGAGGACTGCGGCGGGGGGCTGGGGCACCCCCTGCCCGAGTTGGCGGATGAACTGAGGCGCAAACTGCAGCAGCGCCAGCCACTGCCGGACTCCAATCCCGAGGAGTCATCCGTATGAGGGCGTCCCACCGCGTGGGCAAGGCAGCCTGCGAGCTGCGGCTCCTACTTTTGCACAGACACCAGCTACCTCAGGGACATGGTGTGGGCACCTGCTTTGCTGGGACAGATTCTGCCCAGTATCTGCCCAGCCATGAGGACCTGCTCTGCTCAGCACGAGCACTGCCACTCAGTGTGGCTCACCAGGGCACCAGCCGCCCAGAAGGCGCCTTCCTCCTCTCTTTGAGGGGCTTGAATCATGGACACATGGGACCCCAGCAGCCAAAAATGTCAAGGCAGAAGTTGGAGATGTGTATGTGTGTGGGCACGTGTGCACGTGGTTGTTTATGACACAGTCTTCCTGGTTCTGTCAGTCTTCCCTTGGCGTGGGGTCCTCCTGGTGAGTCATCGGAGCTATGAAGGGGAAGGGGTCGGGTCACTTTGCCTCTCCTACCCCCACCTGTCCCGAGGGAGGGGCAGTGATGTACATATGGGGGTGGGCTGGGCAGGGTACTGTGCCCCTGGGGGGAGTGTAGGGCTCTGGGGTAGGCCTGGTCCTGCTCCCAGGGTTGAGAATGTTTTCAGGGTTGGGGGGAGGGAGACGGAGCCTCCTGTGTGTTTAGGGGGAAGGGTGGGAGGGGCCTCCCACTGGGCCCTGGGGTTCAGTGGTATTTTATACTTGTCCTCTCGTAGGGCTGGGAGAGGTTGGTGGTGGGGAGAAAGTAGGCATGCTGCGGATATGGCATATCTTCTCCCAGCCCTGGAGGAGGGCACCTAACAGTGTAACTTATTGTGTCTCCGCGTATTTATTTGTTGTAAATATTTGACTATTTTTATATTGAATAAAATGGAAAAAATGAAACCGTGATAGGGTTGAGACGTTTGGGCTAAAATCTTCTGGGTGCTAAGAGGGAAACCTCCCTGTGGGTTGAGTGAAGCCAGTCCAGACCCACCTCATCATAGTCCTGGGGCAGCTACCTCTTTTGTGGTCCCTGCCTGCCTGTGCCCATCTGGAGGGAAACAGCCCAGGCTCCAGTGTTTTCCCACAGCAGTGGCTCAGGCTGGGAACCAGACCAGGGCCACAGTCTCTTGGGAGCCAGCTCTGGCTACTGGCCAAAGGAATAAGTCAGGGCATTGGGAGTCAAAGCTGGGGAAGAACTGGCTTCCCAGAACTAGGGAGGGGAAGTGGGAGTGAGGGTGGAAGGAGGGAACTTCCTGGAAGCAGTTTAAGTTTGCATGGACTGGCCATGTGAGGCTGGGGCTCTCAGCTACCTTAAGGGAGGAAGATGATTTCCAGCCTTTTGCCCTCTAGGAATGTGAGTCTTGAGTGCTTCAGCTACATGGGACTGAGAACTTTCCCCAGGGCCACCCAGCATGCACCAAGCCACTGTCGGAATGGGAGGAGAGGTACTGGGCTCAGAGGTTAGTTAAGAAATACAGGACCCAACCTGGATTCTGTAATTCACGCCCACACACTAAGGCAATGGAAGTGAAATGTCCTGTGACTGATCTGGTACCTGCTGTGGCCGGAACAGGCTGCAGCCCTGGGTGTACTAGTTGTGGGGGAGCGCTGGGCGGACGTGACATGCTCGGGTGACGTGAGCCGGGAAAGCTTGTGGCGTGTGAAGGCTGATTCAGTAAACTAGGCGCCCAATCTGGATTTCGGCCAACCCAAGGCCCTGTCCTGTCCCTGTCCTGGGGGCTTGCAGTTGCTCCCAGTGGCACCGGCCTCCCATGGGTTTTCGAGAAATAGGCCCGAAGGACGTGAAGAAGGATAGTGTCGCGAGGCGAGCCGCCTCCCAGGGCCCGCGGCGATGCGGGAGAGGGTGAAGGACCCGGGAGCTCCTTGAAGGGTAAGCTATGTCAAGCGCCACATAAGCGCCCCAGCGGCCTCCGCTGAGCCTGTGGCGCCCTCGTGCGGCCGCCTCGGGCGCGGCGCGCAAGCCCTGGTTCCGCCCCGCCGCCCGATTGGCTCCCGCGCGAAAGCCTGGGCTCCTGATTGGCCGGGCCTGTGGGGCCGCGGAAGCCGATTGGTCAGGCCCGGCGGCCCCCCTCCCGCGCGCGCGCGCCCGACATCCCAAGGGCGCTGAGGCCGGCATGG